CCCCCCCCCCCCCCCGCCGCCATAGCAACGCGCCCCCCCTTCCTCCCTCCTTCCCTCCCCCCCGCCGCCGCCCTCCCTCACCGTTCTGCGCCGCGGCGGGTCCCGGCAGCAGCGCGGCCGTCGCCAGCAGCAGCGAGAAGGCGGCGGGCAGCGGCCCGGAGCGCGGCATCCTCCTGAGGCAGGGGCAGGAGGAGGAGGAAGGTGAGGAGGAGGAGGAAGAGGAGGGTGAGGCGGCGGCGGGAGCGGCGGCGGCTCCGTCCGTCCTTCTCCGCCGACCTCCTACCGCAGCGCTGCGCCCGCTCTCGCGAGAGCTGCCGGCGGCGGGGGCGGCGCCGCCTGTGAGGGGAGCGAGGGGGGCGGTGTCGCCGCCGACCCCGCCCGGCCCCGCCGCCATGTTGCCGCGGTTCAGCCCCTCACATTGAGCCCCTTGGGTTCAGCCCCTCCGCCGCAGCCCCACCATGGTCTCCAGCCCCTCCTCCTTCTGCCCGCTGAGCTCCCGGGCCGGCGGCGGGAGAGAGACGCCAGGGCGGCGGAGAGCTGCCCCTACCCTGCCTGAGGCTGCCGTCCCCTGAGGGGCACCATGGCGGAGCCCGCCCGAGGGATCCGTCCCCTCAGGGGCGCGAAGGGCGCGATGGCGGAGCCCGCCTGAGGGATCCGTCCCCTCAGGGGCGCCGTGGCAGAGCCCCCTCCAGCTGCGGTGCGAGGGAGCGCCACACTCCTCGCTTCTTCTCTTCATGGGCTTAAAATACTCGCAAACGCAAGGCAAGAGCTCTGGTCGTGCCTTATAATTTAGAAGTTTATGTGCCGTTCTGCAGGGTCTGCGGCGTGTTAGAGGAACTCAAAAAAGTCCCTCCCAAATCGTTCAGCTTCAGGACCATACACCCAGAAAAGACTGGAATTATTTTAAACGCCATTCTATCCACCACTGCTACTCTTTCATATAAAAAAAAATAAAATGTTTTTTCAAGGGCCGTGTCTGTTTTGCACAAGTAGGAAAAGAAGCAAATGTGTTTGTTCCATGCTAGTGGTGGAACTGGGGGCAAAAAGCACAAAAAATCACTTCTGTCTCAGTGGACCTGCCAGGCGTCCTGAAAATCGGCCGTAGATGAGCTTTGGGTGGGTTTTCTCCTACTTTCATAAAGCACAGGTACAGGTCACTCCTTGCACTCTGGTTGCTGTGTTCTATGCTGGTGGTGGGGAGATAAAAGAATTGCAGAAGATGATGGGACAGACCAGCAGAGGACACTGGGAAAAAAAAAAAAGAAATCAAAAAAGAAGAGCAGAAAATCCCTCAAAACCAGATAGTCATCTTTCTGCAGAGATCTCAGTTTCCAATCCAGAGATCTCTGCAGGCCCAGGTGTGCCCACAATGGAGTGGGTGCAGCATTGTGCTGACATCCAAAACTGTCCTGATTTCCTGACTTTGTATCCCTGATCCTTTACCCTGCCCAGGTCATTCTCAGCTGATCCTTAGCAAACAGACTCCAAGTCCTTTTATTGCTGCTGTGACTCATAGAAAATAAGGATCAGGCGCACCTTTTCCATGAAAACCCTGATGAACTGACTGCCCGAGCGCTTCAGGACTTGGATCGCGGGCTTAGTGACTGCAGCTTCCCAGGGCTGAGGTCACGCATGAGGAGCGTTTTTGGGCATGTGCTGGTGCCGTACGTCATCCTGGCTGCCCCTGCCTCTCCAAGGATGCCAGATTTGATGTGCATCAGAGATTCCACTGCGCTGGAGAATTTCCATGGTGCATTTCCATGACTCACTATTCGTGCCAGCTGATTCATCTGTGTGACACTACTGTGTGTTTTCTTGTGGTGTGGAAACATCCTCTTTTTGCCCCCCTCTCTGGAACAATTCTGACAGTAGCCCTTTGCAAACCAGACAAAATGGGGAAAAGGATCCAGAAGTCATGGTTCTTGCACAGTGGTGTCCCTCTTCCTGCTCTTTTGCATGCTGTTTTGCCAGCTGAATATAAGCTCAGGAGGATTTTTCTCTAACTCTCCTCCTTGCAAACACCCACTCGGTATTAGGCCTTACCTACACTCGACTGTTTTCCAAGTTTGGAACTAGTTAGCGCTGTGCTTTTCTCTGAGCAGGGTTTGGATCTGCACAGTAATGCTCGTTCCGTAACCATGGCAGCTCAGGGTGACTCACGCTGCCACAGGCCTGGGCCCAACTTAGCAGGAGGATTATTCTCCCCCCTGTCACCAGCTCAGCACGCTGAGAAGCTGGAGCTTCTCCCCACGGTTGCATAACTGAGCCCTCAGGTTCTTGTTCGTCTGGGGAGATGTGCTGATGGATTTTGTCTGGAGCTTGCTGCTGCCTTCAAGAGTCTCTTGGAGCAAAAGGAGTTCCCACAGATCCCTAATAGGTATATATAAGATCTATTTGTGCCATACTCAGGTATCCAGCCATAATAGAGGGTAAAAACCTGTTGTTCTGCCTTGCATGAGTGAATCCTCTTGCAACCACTTGTATTTGTAGGGGATTTCTAGAGAGAAAAAAAGGGGATTCACCAGCAATAGATTCAACACAGTGGCTTGGAAATAAGGAAAAGCCTGTCATTCCACCAGACTGAGTCTTTGCAGACTGAGGGGTGATGTGTTTGGCTTGTGTGGGTATGGCGATTCCTAATTTCATGAGTGGCAGGGGAAACTTGGCCGGGGCAAAGTTTCCAAATCCCTGCATTTTCGCTTCAGTCAAGACCCATCTTTTCACCTGGGGTATCTCAATTTTGATAATTCTCTGCTTATTCCTCAGGACTTCAGCACAAGGGCAGAAAATCTCGGAAACAAAACAAGCAAAGGGGAAGAAAAAACCCACCATAATCAGCAGGAAATTCAGGAAAGAGTTTCAGTTCTCAGAGAGGGGCAAAGAGGTATTCTTTTTTTGTCTGTATGTGGGGGAGATCTTTTGAGCTTGTCTTCTAGCAACTGGAGTTGTTTAAGAGATCCCTGTTATTTCCATGTACTTATTGACATGCTTTGGCTCTTGAAGGAAGCTTTCATAGAATGGTTTGGGTTGGAAGGGACCTTAAAGATCATCCAGTTCCATCCCCTGCTAGGAGCAGGGACACTTTTCACCAGACCAGCTTGCTCAGAGCTCCACCCAACCTGGCCTTGGACACTTCAAGGGATGGGGCAGCCACAGCTTCCCTGGCCAACCTGTGCCTCCCCACCCTCACAGGGAAGGATTTCTTAGCTTTGCCCCACTTGCAGTTGCCTTCTTTTGAATCTGTCACCAGTTGAAAGAGTAGGGCAGAGCACGAAACACTCGCTGACGTCCAACAGCAAACCTCACCTTTTGCAGCTGAGGAACGTTGGATAACATCAGTTAATGCTTTGAGGGCGACATGCCAGGGAAAGCACCGATCCCAGAAGGTAACTCCGACCTTATGCATGTGATTAATGTATATTAATCTCCCCAAAGGCACAATGGCAGGTGGAGAACAACATTAACCTAATCAGATAACAGAGCCACCAAACAAGGGTGACACCACCGCAGTGAGTCACCAGAAAGGCTCTCTGGCTCCTACAGGAGGGTGCTGCACAGGTGACCCTTCCAGTTTTCATCCTAAAGAGCCAGAAAAAAAAAATTAAACTGCAAAATTAGCGCTCTGACGAATGAGAGGCGAAGGAAAAGCTTGTCAAATCAGAGAGCGACATGCTCTGAGGGATAAGAGTCAAAGGAAAAGCTTCTGAAAGCAGAGGAAAAATGGGATTTAAAAAAAAAAAAAAGGAAGGAAGATCTCAGGATAATAATAATAATAATAATAATAATAATAATAAAATCTAGATGTGCGTTCTTATTTAGCAGAAAGCTGACTTGACACATCTGAACCCCATGGGTAATGGCAGCTTGTTTATTCCGAGCGATCTCCTATCCTCCTTCTACATGTTCAAAGTCAGAGCTGGTCAGAATGTTTTAACTTGATTTTTTTTTTTCCTTGTTATTTCTGAGCAGAAATGTCTTTTCACATAAAACAAACATTGTGACAGAAGGGGTAATTTTGGTCAGGATGATTTGTAATGTAAACAAGGAGTCCAGTGAGAAATATCATCATGTTTGACATCAGCTTTGTTATGACAGAAATCTGAAGTTTGTCTAACCTTATTTTCTGCAGGAAAGGAGATAGAGGGACAAAAAGAAATCAAACTGCTTTTTTTTTTTTTTTTTTTCCCTCTCCTCTCTGTGGCACAACCCAAAATTGTTTCTCTCGATTGCAATTTTTTCATCCACCTCAGCCACATCGTAATGTTTTTCTCCACCCAATTTTTTAGGGAACTGAGTCCAATAACTTAGTTTCCAGTTACAGACACACAAGAGCCATTCCCTGACCTCATTATCCTGAGGAAAAGGATATTATCCTCCTGCTTTTGTTGAGAGCAGCTCCATCCAGCCTCAGGCAGGATGTGTGGGGACAGCTGTCCCGCACTCCAGCTTGCTCTTGCGTGCTGTGAGTCCTGGCGGGGGGCTTCCTAGGAGGCTCCGGGGAAAGCCTGAACATCTGGAGCAGTTTTCAGGATGCAGAGGTGAAGCTGTGGGTGATCCGTCAGGACCAGACGGCAGGTGGCACCCCTGGATTAGCACAGGGCTCGCTCCAGCCAGGCTGGGCAGTGCCTGCGGCTGGGCTTCGGCTTCACCCTCCACGAGCCACAGCAGCAGGGATGTGTGCTCTTTTGCTGCCGTGCAGGGACATCCCTGTGTCCTGGGGCTACTCCCCACAGCCCAGACGATTCCCATCGCATTTTTTTTGTTCCTGGGGACTCGGCTTTGGACAAGGGGTGCCCATGGCAATCAGGGGTGTGGTGTGAGGGCACTGCTCCCTACGGGATGGGGAAGTGAAGGGAAGACCGTGGCTGGCAGGGAAAGACAGTCCCAGGGTACCTGAGTGAGGAGAGCAGGAGGCAGCCAGGGTCAGCCAAGAGTCCCTGTCATCCTGCATGTTCGCAGCAATAGGGCAGGCTGGAGGAACCAATCCATAGCTCAGGATCAATCCTGATGAGGGCAGCCAGGGGCAGGCACAGTGAGGTGATCCCTAGGCAGGTCCAAGGGGATAAAACAGACCTGAGCTCAAACTAGGAAATCAGGATTCACATCAATAGGGCCTATAGGTGCAGGTATAGCTGGGGCTAAACTAGAGACCAGCACCCCAGAGACACAACTCAAACCAGGACCAGCCCTGGGCTGAGCTTAAAGGGGCTCTCAAGCCCATGGGCAAGTGTGGCTGGGAATCCCATCCCAAGTGGGGCTGCTCATGGCAGTCAGTGGCCCAAGGTCTTGTCCCCCAGCCTGCAAGGCACAGCTTGATAGGTAGAAGAGCTTGTGCCATCCCCAAAGTGCTGTGCACCATTCTGTACATCAAGGGAGACATGTGGTCCCTCATCTTTTCCCCAGGGATATATTTGGCTGTGCCACCCTGGCTCTCTGCAGCTCAGGCCGCTTGGTTTGTTCAGCCTGGAGGAGACTGAGGGGAGAACTCAGTGGTGTCAACATCCTCATAAGGGGCAGTGGAGGGGCAGCACTGATCTCAGTGGGGACCAGTGACAGGATCTGAAATTGTGTCAGGGGAGGTTTAGGTTGGATATTGGGATAAGGTTCTTCCCCCAGAGGGTGGTCAGGCACTGAACAGGCTCCCCAGGGCAGTGGTCACGGCCCCAAGGCTGACAGAGCTCCAGAAGTGTTTGGACAATGCTCTTAGAGACAGGGTGGGATTGTTGGGATGTCCTGTGCAGGGCAGGAGTTGGACATGATGGATGATCCTGATAGGTCCCTTCCAACTCGGAATATTCCATGGTTCCTTGATTCCATGAATCCCTCCTGGGCCCGTGGGTCCTGGTCCCCAGGAACACCCACGTTCAGGAGCCCCTCGGGGTCCCTCGTTCCCGGGTGGGGCGGGAGCAGCTCCGTGCCCGGCCGTCGATGGCCCACTGTGCTATCATGGCTCTGCATCGACCGCCGGCTCCCGCCCCGGCCCCGCCGGGCACGGCCCAGCCAGGCAGAAACGCCGATACCCATCTGCCTAAACGGCGGGCATTCCCGTGAAATGCAGACAATGAGCCTGCGATCAGCGTGGGGGTGAGCAGAGGGAGCGGCCCAGCTGGGAGGTCACTGCTGAGCTGGCAGACAGCAGCCCTGGCAGCACAGGCTGCTCGGGGTGGTGCCGCTGGTTATCACATCTATTCTATGTGGTGCTTGTTTTCCACATCCCCTGTGGGTCATCCTTTACCAGCTCAATCAAAATTAAGGGGATTATCCAGCCTTTATGGTGTGGTAAATGGTTGAATTAGATACAATTTTCCTAGTCCTGCCTGATGCAGGTTAGATTAGACATGGGTTTTTCTAACCTTAATGGCTCTGCCTGTTCAGAATTCTGTTCTGCCCTGGGGCACATTTATTTTAGCCAATGATGCAATGGTTTAAGAAAAGTGATTTGGTGAAACCTGAGGCTCCCTTCTCCCTGGAGAGCATGACACCCAAAATAAATACAGTCATGAGAAAGACTTGGGTTCAGCCAGGGGGGCACAAATAGACTTTAATGGCAGCTTCATGTGGGACCCCAAGCCACCCACACCCTCTGCCCATTGCTCCATATAAGCTCAGAGCCAGGAGATGCTCTTGGTTTGCTGGAATGTGGATAAGTCTGTTCTGGTTCGGTCTTCCAGACTGGTCTTATTGGAGTGGGATTTAGTTCTCTCGTGTAGGTGGCCCTGTCTCCCATCTGAGCCATGAGGAGGGATGTGCTGGTGGCTGAAATGGGGTTTTTCATGTCCCCTCCTGGCAGGTAGGGTGTTCCTGGCATCCTGAGAGACCCCAAGGCAAGTGTCAGTGCAATGACAAGGGACATTTTTCCTGATGCATTTGGCTCTTTGGGAGCTGGAAGAAGAGGGATGGAGCATGAAAACCTTCCCAAAACTGAGGTGTGACGTACCAAATCCAGAAACCTTCTCCCAGCTGGATGAGGATAGCCAAAATCCTAGAGTCATCTAGACTAGCTACCCCCAAGAAGTGGATTCAGGGCTGGGGGCTGTGCTGGTCAGTGCCATCTGTTGACGTGTCCTGTAGGAGTTGGACCCCCATGATCCTTGTGGGTCCCTTCCAACTTGGGATATTCCGTGATTCTGTGCCCTGCTAAGGCCTGGAAATGAGCTAAATTGGGAGAACTGTGCGTTTTTCATGGAGATTTTAGGCTCTGTGTGCATGTTGGGGATAATGTCTGGCCTTCAGACTCTTTTGAAAAGATGAGCTACCGAGGAAGCTGCGGTGGAGGGGCTTGAGAACAGCTTCTGGATGCACACGCTAAAAGAAAAGCAATTTAAGAGGAGAATATTTTTTTATCAATAGGAGAAAATGAACAATGGGGATAACAGTGAGTGACCAGGCTGAGTATCTCCAGTATCTCCCCTCCAAAAGCTGGGAGGAGTGTCAATAGGGGACGTTTAATTGATGGCAAACATTACGGCTGGTGCGGAATCTGAGCTGCTCCAGCCTGTGCAGGGAAGGCTTTTATAGCAGCGAACAGATGAGCATTGTGAAAGATGACTGTGATTCTTTGGGCATTTCTGTGTTAGATTGCAGTAAAATTGCAGCAAAAAGCAATTTTGCTTTAATCAACTCTATAACAAAGCCCCAACATAGTAAAGAGCAGAAGGCATCAGAAGATAGGAAATTGTCAGCCTTGCTGGAGCTGAAAGATAAGATTGTACTCCCTACAGCTACACTAAAAGAAGATAAATTATCCATAGGGGCAATCCAGAAAGAAAATAATGTACAATTAAAGTTGTTTGAATTACAGTTTTAGGGAAGAACGGGTGGAGGAAAAAGCCAGTTTCAGTGGAAAGTCTGAAACCTCCTTCCCATGTGCTTTTAGAAAGGAGAACTAGTTTTTGGGGGAAAAAAAAAAAAAAAAAAAGATGATAAATTGGGCAGGGCAACCTAGAGAAGAGCAAAGGATGTGTCTGTCTGAGGGACTTTAGAGGGAGATGCCGAGCCTGGGGGGTGTATGCATGGGAAGAGAACTGGCTCTGAACTTGGCAGGAGCAAGAGGCAGGTCTAGGAAAGACTGAAGAGTGGCAGGAAGGCTGGAGATCTCATCTCTGGAGGCCCCTGCCAGCAGCCCTGGCTGGTTTGCCTCTCCAAGCCTGGGGCTGGGTGGGTGGTGGAGGATGGCTGTGCTCCAGCAATTCTGGGGTGCCAGGAGCAGGGGTGGGGCTTGTGCAGCTGCCACTGGGAGCATCTCTTCACCCTCCATCACCTCCCTGGGGTCTCCAGGCTCCAGCACACAGTGCTGTACCCTGAGATGCCGGTGGGCTTTGGGAATGGTTTCCAAACTTCAGACCAACCTCAGTCCCAAGGCCGTGTGGTGCTCAGAAAAAGCCGATGAGGAGGGTGCAGAGGTATGGGGTTATTTCAGGCTGACACCTGCCCTTCTTCGGGCTTGCTTTGAGCAGAGTGCAAACAAACCACAGGGTAAAGGTTAAAAAAAAGCTGCCAGAGGAGTGTGTTTGCATGAGCTTCTGTAACAGCCCTGGAGGTCCCTGTATTCCTGGGGGGAATTCCCCTGGGTGCTCTGCAGGGCAGGTGGGACCCATGGCCGCATCCCCAGGGAGGTCCATGCCACAAACCTTCCCTGAGGCCCACTGAGCTGCTGCAGAAGCGTGTGGGAGCAAACAGCTGATCTTCAGTTTGTCGTGACGGCGTCTTTGCCTGCCTTCCTGAGTGGGAATCTCCTTGTGGGACCGTTCCTAA